GTTCAGCAACATGAACAAGTTTCTTGCTCTCTAAGTGCACACTCATCTGCCTATTTTTAGAACTCTGCACAGTGCTCTAAAACGTTCATATAAGCTAAATTAATCTGATACAATGAAACTTTTACACGAATCCCCTCTCACGGAGAAGAAGTGTCAAAAAATTTGATTAAATAAACAGAACTTTGAAAGAAAGAGGACGTCTGCCGGTGTAGTCGCAAAAAAAGTTGACTGAAGGATCAACAAACAGAATATTTGAACTTTTTAAAGGAGATCAATCCAAATCGAATGGAACGACTAGATAGAATTAAACGTTTGGCAAACAAGTCGACAACGAGTAATCACATTAGTGAAGGAGTCGTGTGGACGTCATCGCTCTAAATACTTAGATTCGGAGGAACTAAAGTCGGCTTGCAAAGATGTATTAACCATAGACCCTTTTGAAAAGTAGCCTCGAAGGAAGGGAAAGCACGAGCTAAAGCAGAACGAACGCACACGCCGATCATCTTGGCCGACGCCATCCGCGAAGAGTAAGTTGTGCAAACATTAGGATAGAAACAATCGGGTAAGCTCGTACCTCCTTGTTTCTGTATTTATCAATCTTCGATTTTATGCCATAGGAATAGATCCGTTGTTAAAAATGTACCGATATTTGATCGATGTTGTTGTCTGTCCAACTGCGACGAACTGCGACTGATAAAGCAGAAAGAGAGTGCAGAAAATATTTTCATTAGATAGCATTTGTTGGTAAGCAATTCCTGTTCTATTATAACGATAATCATATAAACATTATCGTGCTCATTAACAATCTTTTTTGGTTCACACGTTCCACACTATAGGTTACCTTAATACAAAATATGATAAAACATATGATATGCATATGTACGTATATATATGTATATATATTTTATATACAGAAAATATATATCTTATGATGATTTAGTAAGCATACGGCAACAATCAAATCCGAAATTTGAATAGCGTAGGAGGGAGAAAAAACATGGACATATCCGATTGCTCCAAAGGCGAGCAATGCGTTTAAATGCGGTTATGCATCGTGCAGTATATAGACATCTCTAGTAGGCACGAATGAGAACGCTGAGAAGGATTAGCAGCCCTTTTAAAAGCCTTGGTTCGTTGATTAATTTCTTCTATCTCTATGCGAAATGTGTCTTGAATATATGGCACTCGACAGCCCGAATTACGCCCACCCTCAAGATTTTGTTTCCTTTTTTTTTCTGGTAATTTTATTTATATCTTTTAGCGAATGTTCTAAAAACATTACAAAATCATTACTGAAAAATGTTAGGGTATACGTATAATACTCATTGGGCAACCATGACGGACTTCGGTGTAGAAATGAAAATTTTTTAATTATCTTGATTTATGAGTGGGAATAAAAAACCATATAAGAATCAGAAACGTGCAAGACAATGTGAAGTGAGAGAAATGAAAAACTTTATTTAATATATTTGAAAGTTGATAAGTCACTTTAAATAATATCTATATAGCACAATAGGTAACATGATAGTTACCTGAAAAGAAAGCGATTGGTCGAGAGGTGTAATATCAATTTTTACATGAAGTTATCTAAAATGATTCAAAATGATTATACTACGTATTATACGAGTACTTTCGAAACATTGATGCTCTTCATCATTTAAAAACTCGTCTCTCCGATAATCATGTCTTTAAATCATTCTTAAATATGTAAAGAATCATTGAAGCCTATCAAAAAAGCACGTAATATGTATATATATAATAGAGATACTATCACTTTGTGAAGGTGACTTGTTTCCGAAAGATTTGTCTGCTCGCTTATAATGTCCGCAAATGTTCAAGAGATACCTCGCGAATCTGAATCGATTTAATCATCCATTAGGAAGCGACAGCTCATCCATTAGAAGCGATGTAAAGGCAATGACAGTTGACCCACTCACAAGCCTACAATCAGCAAAAACTTTTACAAGTTTTATATTAACAACCGAAGGCTAGGTGCATACGCTTTCCTTTTCGACAAAGCACTTTGAAACCTTAGAAACTCACCAATCCCGCAAATACATAGAGAGCACACGATTCTAAATCGAATCAGTTAGGCGTAACTAGCCATCGGCCAAGTTGCGATTTGCTAAAAAAAAATTTGCTTTGACATTAGAAAATCTGAAGTAGAAAATTGCAGACTACAATTTGATTTTCATCTGAGACTTTTAGGTTGTCCCTTAAAGTTTTAATTATGTTAGAAGAAAGATTTATCAATAATCATCTCCAACAATCCAACTTAAATAGCAGCCATTAATCCTAAATTCAAATTTGAAATTATTTCTATATAGAAAAATCTTGGTTTGTCAACAACCCAACCTGGAGTGAACATGTCTTTCATATGTGTTCTTATGCTAATATATTTTCTCAATAAAAAGTAATATTTTAAAACACAAAAAAAAATCGTTGAAAAAATTATCGTAAATAAACTACGAAAATCACACATTTCACAGAAGTGTGAATGAATAGACTCCGATTTTGTAGGAAACGAAATTCCTTAAAATATTGAAAGCAAATACCGATTTACGGTCATAAAGTAAAGAAGTCCTATGCAGTTGCCGACTGACAAACTCTTCGTTGCAGCAAATCCCCGGGAAATTCAACGGATGAAAGAGTTAACACTTTCTTTCACCGTATCCTAGACTGACTCAGTAATCGGGTAAAAATTCCCCTTCTAGACCCAAATCCAATAACATCAGAAGATGAAGGAGACTTCGCACATTGGGTATATACACCATTGAGAAAATCAATTCTTTTTGTTCCTTTAATGGAATGAATTCCCTCGTTACGTAAAAGTGTCTCTTTATTAGTTTAAATACCACACCTTTATTGTTACGTTCGTCCCTTATGGGAATCTCTTTTTGTTTTCAACATTTTGACATACATTTTTTAATTATCTTTATTAGATTGATTGCAAATAATTCCTATTATATCGAAAAGCTCTTTGTAGAGTTTTTTTATTTACTGAGAAATATTTTTAAAAAGAAAAGTTCTTGTGCGAAACTGTGAAAAAGTTTCTATCTTGTTTTACCATAATGAAAATCAGTAATCAAAATTTTTAGAGTGTAAGTCCGATCCATTGGTCATAATCTAAAGTATAGTATGTATATATATATAAACAATATTTTTCATTTAGACTTAGCAAGCGCGCTTATGGTTGTGTTGAACTTGAAAGTTTTTCCAGCAGTGGTGTTCAGTTCTATGGTGTAAGCGTATAATTCTATGCCATAAATCGATGCTCTCCAATTGCTTCTCCAACAAAATCTTCGCCTACGCTATTCACGCGATCTTCACCTCAAATACCTTTAACAGCGAAGTGGATATATACATTCTCCTTGTACTCTACGCACATTTAAGAAGCAAGAGAAACGCCTAAAGTATATATCTAATCTAAACATAATGGTCATCAAGAGTGATATCAGGTGGGTGTCGTCGAAGAGAATTGCACTGCTTACATTTTACTTCTCTGCGGACACTTATCATCATGCTGTCACTTCTTCATGTGAATGTTAGCTTTATACAAGTACAAATTATAACGCTGTAAACAACTCAATTCCTTGCGGCTTTAAATAAATCGAGTTCTGTCCCAAGGACGAAAGGTATTATTATTACTGGCTCACTTGAAAGCAAATGCTAATGAACCGCTATGAATAATAAAAGCGACAACGAGTTGCGATGGTAGAAATGCAAAAACCCAAGATTCACGACGGACAACCCATTAACTTTTGGAACATGCCCAAATATTCATGGCGCCCGCATTTAGGAAGAGTATCTGCCTGCTATGTGTGGTACGAGTTAATTCAACCAATAGCGTAATATGCCAAATGATTTAATGGGGCACCCTCTCAACGCGACGGAAATACGTTCAGTACCTAATTGAACGATACTTTCACTTCAGAGATCGCCAAGCGCAAGTTTATTTTCCGTTCTTCAGTTTTCGATTGTTACAAGGTGAAAGACGAACCTAATGCATTACTATAATATATCGGTATTGGAATTAAAAATATGTATGCCAAGCCGAAAGTGTTGAAAAATATATTAAAAATTTCTATGAGATAAATTATTTATTAAAATATTGCACCCAGATTAAATACTATTGTTGCATGCATATAGATAAGCAAATGTAGGAATTTAATATTTAATTTTAATTTTCCATAAAATGTTAGTAGTTATATTTATTTAAATATATATCTACCTATATGGGCTTTTAAAGCCCATGCAAAAATATTTATTAATTCTTTTATTAAATTTTCATAAAATCATTTATGAAAAGTTTTATACAACTTTTCTCACAAGACATACCGATCGAACGCTTTGCCTACACCATTAGCTAGGGAAGGGCTTCATTTGATTCCTTCTTTGGAAGATCGCCACAGTTGCAAAAATGGACTAAAGAAAATAAAATTTGGGACAACGATTTTTTGACTGATTAAAAATCCACCCACATGCCTACAATGTAGAAGAAACTGGTAACAACCTTGACAATTTGGTTTATTTTCTTCTAGAACTTTCGATCCCGTGCAGATATTTCGGAAAACCTCTTATTCAAATGATTGCCATAACTACTTGCTGCATGATCGATCGATCCAAAATGGGTCCCAGCCGGTTTATAGCTACGTCCACAACTCAGACTATTTCAATTCCAATTTATTTGCAAATTATTTTTAATTAAATAAAGAACATGCTAATATGCGTTAGAGTAAATTACTAAAAAATTGGAATTAAAATTTTATCGTTAGTTTTGAAAATGTTAGCTAATCAATTGGAAACTCCCTTGGACTTAGCATAAAGACAATATTTTCAAAAAAACGCAAATTTTCGGGTTTTTTTCAAAGTTATTTCAGTTTCAATTTTTGGTAACATTTGAAACAGTCCTATCACAATCCTAATGGCAAATATCCAAAGCCACAATTTGAATTTCAATTTCTTGTGTCCGAATAAATGATATTCAACTGCAATTTTAATTAGTTGGCATTATTTATAGAATATTCCTAAAAATTTTTAATGAAATAAGAAATAAAAAGGAAAACTTTACAGCCCGACGGCAATACAATCCAAAAAGCAGTCCTAAAACTGGAAACTGTTTTGATAAATACATATAATTGCTGAAGTGGCTGACTTCGAAGAAAGCCAAGCATATCGGGAGCAAATGTTTGCGCACCACCTCGTTTACCATAACCTAGGAGGATGTTAGCAGCTTTCAAATCAGCAGGAACATAACCACAACGATGTATGAACTCGTAAGCGTCCAGCATTTGCAAAGCAATGCGATAAACAGCGATTTCTGGTAAACACCGCGAATTGCTTAAAAGGTGCTTACTTATATCAGGGCCGCGATGTTTTATATTATTAACATCAACTGAGCCATGTCCTAGCATATAAGGCACGCCTAAACTCTTTAATCCGTTCTTCCGTTTGAAATTATTGATATCATCCAGTTTGCAATTTCGCATATAAAAATGCATTTCAACGAATAAAGGCCCATTATCGTGAGGTTCCTGTAAAAAAATATTTCATATCTGAATAAAGGCGGCTTCTATATAATTATCTTTTGTACTTACGCATTTTACTACACAATCGTAGCTTTTTCCACCTCCTTTACAGGCTGTATAAATTTCACCATAACCTCCGATACCTACCGAGGTTCCGATTTTATATTCATTTTTGGCGAAATCCTTAAGGATTGTAACTTCCCGTAATTTTTCCGACATTTTGTATAAGTGATGTAAACTGCTCAAAGAAGACCGAAACTGAATTCAAGACGAGGTGCGTCCCGGATGATCAACAACCTCCATCGATGAAGGTCATGTCAAACAAATCAAAGATTCGATGCATAAAAACCGTCAAGAACCGAAAGAACCGGGCCAAAGTTGCTCAAAAATCGTTTTATTATTAAGACTTTGCTTCGATTGTCTTGCAGTTGTGCATTATGAATTTCTCCCGTCGAGCCAAACTGTTGACAAGAAACATTATTTGAGTGTTATGCGTCGTTATACGGGCAATACAGCTATTGGTTTTTGCATCACGACAATGCTCCATCTCACACTACATTGGTTCCTCGAACTCATTTCGTTAAAAATTCATCCCATATCATCCTATTCAGCCAATTCAGCCCCTTGTTCTTCTTCTTCTGGCTATTTCCTAAACTCTAAACACCTCACCAGCGTCAACGTTTTAAATCGACTGAAGAGTCAAGCTGAAGCCGAATCGCAAAACGCTTTGAAGGCCATCGCATCAATGCATAATACCTGAGGGCGAAAAGCGACGAAATTGATTTGGAGTAACACAAATTGAACAGATGTTACTTTTTGAGCATAGCGATGCGTATGCTTTTACAATACTATCCCATACTCGTTTAGAAAACTAAAGTTAGGGAACAAATGATTTCAATGTAATTGCGATATCAATTATCCCATATAAACTGTTTATTGGAATGAAATAAGTAAAAATTAGTTATTCATGCAATAATTTTGCACATATTTCAAATTTTAACATTAAAGCTAACCTCGCTTAACAACAAACAACTAATTACTTACCATACAATCTGTTCTGTGACACATTTCATAATAAAAGCGGAATTTTTGTATATCTTTATGTAAAAGCACAAGGTGAAACGAGTGAGTAAGGAACTATCGTTGACCATTTACGAAACGTGCGAAAATGTTATGCGCATTTATGCATAATAAGAAGTAAGAGCAAAACGTGAAATTCGGGAAAGAGGTAATAAGGTTCTTGGTAGTTAGCATTTATTGGCTCTTATTGTTTTCTTTTTGCGTCTCACAGCAGCCCTCTATATGCCATCAAACGTATTTGCTTTGCTAAAGCATGATTTCTTAGTAATGATCTCAACCAAAGTGTATTGGAACCTATTTAAAAAATATGAAAGTGTGCTTAGTGTGTGTTCGTTTTCTTTTCGCGACTACCGCCAGCTAGATGGCAGTTTGCTTCACAAAAATATTTTTATTTCATGCTTCGTTTTATTTTTGGGTTTTTTTTTTTAAATGATTGATACTATTATTCGTTTATTTGTGTTTAATTCTCTGCGACGAACAATAGAAAAAATAACAATATTTAGAGTCCAAAGAAAAATCAAAAAGAAAAAAATGTACAGGCGTCTCTGGTATAGCACGGTATTCGTCAATCACAATTGCAAGTATTATATAACACGGTGCTAAATTTGTGATTATCATAACACGGTTTTGATATAATACGATTGCAAAAAAAAACGATTTTTATTCCGCTGGATTGTAATTATATTTTACTCCACTTGTAGTGGAGGGTATACTAACCCCCACTTAATTATATTTATAATTTTCTAAATCGATCCATGTTTGTCTGTTCGTCTGTCTGCCCTGTGTTCTCGTTCCCAACATGCGAATTGCAAATGTTTGAGACATTTTGATGACGTGCTTTGAGCCAAAGACCATTGCATTGTTGCAAATTGTTGGGATCGGTCCACTCTCCTTGCAGCGCCTTATTTTGGATAGTCGTCATGTAAAAAAAAAATTGCAATATTCAAAATTTCTCGACAAAAGTCGCTGAGTAATAGTATTTCGACATTCTAAATTGCTGTGAAAAATTTGGATCCGTTGGGACAATTTTTTGAACCCACTATAATACAAGCGTTTCCACGAAAACTGAATCTTTATATAACTAATAGATCTTATTTTCAATGTTTCATCGTGAAAATTCCTCCAGAATAGTAAATTGGCAAAGAAATCAACTGTGGCAAACCTGGTCCACATGGGTATATTTTTTGGATACCACTGCATATAAGAACTCCCAGGAAATGTAAATTCCTATGTACCAAAACGGCCTAATTTTTAATATTTTATGATTCGTTCACTTTCGTTCATGACCGTAATTTGATATAAACAAATCAAATTTGCATCAAATTTGAATTACGTGGACCCTAAACCCCATTCTTTATAAGATTCCTCATGAGTAGTAAGCCCTCAAGAAAGGGTTTAATTTTTAATATTTTATGATGAAAATTATTCCATAGTAGAGAATTCGGGCCATATAAAGTAACAAGAACAAGCAACCTACACTAAAAACGAACAAGAACAAGCAACCTACACTAAAAACGAACAAGAACAAGCAACCTACATTAAAAAGGAACAAGAACAAACAACCTACACAAAAAAGGAACAAGAACAAGCAAACTACACTAAAAAGGAACAAGAACAAGCAACCTACGCCAAAAAGGAACAAGAACAAGCAACCTACACTAAAAACGAACAAGAACAAGCAACCTACATTAAAAAGGAACAAGAACAAACAACCTACACAAAAAAGGAACAAGAACAAGCAACCTACACAAAAAAGGAACAAGAACAAGCAACCTACACCAAAAAGGAGGTCGATTTTTAAACCCCAACATGTGTAAGGGTTATCATGAAAAGCAAGCCCTTATACGGCGAGAAAATCTAATTTCTAATCTTTTACAAGGGAAATTGAAATATATTAAAATTTTTAAGAATTGAACTGAGTTTGATAAATTTTGATTATGTCTGGTGATGTTTCGGGCATCTTCCAATATGCGGACTTTCACAAAATATGTACTTTTGCATTAAAATTATGTGTAATTTTTGGTGTCTTATTATCAAAACGAGTGAATCATTGAATCATTCATTGTATTAGACGAAGTGGTGTAGAGTCTGTAATCTCGGCCTTGTCCGACTATAATGTTCTTACTTCTCATGGCTGAGGCATTGTTTTGCGAAAGTGCGGCTGTAATATTGTTCCCTGTTCTTTGTTTTCCTTAGGAAAAAGTTGAAGCTTGTACAATTTTCTACTTTTTATTATTTATTCTTTCCCATTATTACACATACTAGGCGTTTGTTGAAGCGATGTCTTCCCAGTGCGGCATTTTGGTTCTAAGCTGCACGATGAACATTCAATTAATCTGTTGATGTTAGAACCATGGCTTGCGCTTTTAAGCGTCCCAGTTGCTCGCACCGTCAAAACCGGGAACAAGTAAGTTTGCCTTGTGAATAAGAAACGTGAACGAGACTTTTCTTTGCTCAACGCATTGGGAATGTTTTGTTTCCTAAATTTATTTTCTAAGATAAATACGAAAGCCCTTGACTCTTTTCACAAAAACAAATGTATTTAAATATATTTAATGAACACACATAGATAATTTAGTTTCACGTCGTAGCAGTAGTTCTCTTATTCTTTCTCAATCAGATATGGACGTTTATTTATTTTTTTTAATCTTTCGCATTTCCTTTCCTCGCGGCTCGCTTTTCCCGTATGAGTTGGCGCCGTAACGCTCCTTTGGATTGTACCTTTGGTTTCGGGGACTGTTTCTCACATCTGCTTTTAGGTTTTCTTTTCTGTTGTGTCTGCTTCCTTGTTCTCCGGGCTTTACATCTGCAACAGGTAACATATTCAGGAAGAGCATCCTATCAATAGAAGAAGATTTAAAATTCTATTTTTCAAACCTTTCCCTCTATTGTTACCCCGTTAGCTTCTAATAATTTACATTCCAGCCAGAATTTCCCTCTCGTCGTTAGTTGGAATAAAACAGGAAAGCCCTGTTCTGTCTTTCTGTTACGCAAGTCTTTTGATGATCCTGGCGATTCACTATCCACTTCGATAGCATCCATATTAAATTACAACACTTAAAATTTATTTCTTGTCTGACATATATAAAAAATAATTTTATATTGTTATCAAAATTCAAATAAAACATCAAATAAAAAAATTTTAAATAATAAGTTCGCTTGGGATGACATATGTCCGCATCGTGTCACCAAGCAGCCACATTGAGCCAAACCAAAAAAAATCATGGTTAATAATAATCAAAATCAATCACAAAAAGTAAATGAAAAACAAACACAACAATAAATTCAAACGGAACAAATTCATATAAATAAATGTATGGGAGAAAAAGCATGAGGAAAAAGCACGTGTGAAAACAATCGTAACAAACATGAAAGTCTTAATAAATATTCATTCATGCATTGAAGCTTTAGAGAATACAAACACAAGCAAAGAACATTCACCAACAAGCGAGCAGCGATAAGCACACACACACACACTAAAGTTGAGAACTAAACAAAAATGAAAATTTCATCTTAAATGCTATAACGAAAGACAGGATTGGGCAATGAAGTAAAGAGGCTTAATCAAAATAACCTCATTGTGGCATCGAAATGACGCTTACTTCCAGACTATACCTCGTCACAGGCGCAGAAACCAGAGAACCGTAACAATATGCAACGATCAAATTTAAGGACGGTTGTTGTACGGACGGCCCACTTTCGCAACAGATGACGGGTTGACTCGATTGATAAGAGAAAGCAAAATGAACATTATTATAACGTCCCCCCTCCCTTACATCGAACTTAAGAAATGCTTTGAAAACCAGAAAACATCTTAGTATAATTCTATTCCATTCGAAATAGACTGCTGTGGAGGAGATTAAGAAAATTTAATAGAATAATACGTCTTTTGTATATTTTTTAATTTAAAACCCTTTTATTTAAAGACTCTTATTAAATATTGATCACAGCATTATCTGCTCTGCATCAGTGCAAGATCCTACTTAACCGATCTGTCCGAATGCTAATCTGTCCGCTCTGCTAAGTGCTTGCCCGTCTATCTCCCCGGCTTTCCTGTTTGACCGCTCGCCCAGCTATCCATCAGTCCTTTGTACAAGAAAGGCTCACCGTCTCAAAAACTAAAACCTCTATCCTTTGCTGATGACCAGAGAGTAGCATTTAAAAAATTTACGATTTTCTCGCAGTTAGGGCAATAAATAAAGAAATGTGGCTTATCGACCATAGGAAAAATCAGCCTAAAACTTTTCTCCAAAAACTCTTCTGCAAATTTCCTTCCAGAATGGTCCAAAAACTCGATAAGCCCACAAGCAACCTTTAGAGGAGAATTA